CTGTACTGGTGGAGGTGGAACCCACGAGATATCTTATGCCCAAAATGAAAAAACCAACCAAAAACTGAAGCTGAGATCCCACAAACTTAACGTTCCATATCTTTATATCTCATTTATGGAGAATTAATTACCATCAGTTATGTTTCCAACTTTCCATTGCTTATAAGATAGATTACATATGTGTCGAAACAGATGAGTTTGCTGAAATACCAAGAAGATGCAATGCGAGAAGTCAAAAGCAGAGCCTTCTAGCAGATGAGGAGACCAACACGGAAAAGCCAAATAGTCTCTGATCAAGTGCTTGATAGAAATCTTCCTAAAACTGAATCAAACACCAGCATCTCAGCTCAACTGTGAAAGCTCAACCACCATTCCTAAGCTTACTCTATCTTGCATCAACTCAAGAGGCTTCAAGCCCAAGACTTCATTCAATTGTAAGGCACTCGTGTCTTTCCTGGATGATAACACATTAGTTGTTGATCTTGCAATTCGCGCCGTGATGCAGCGTGTTGATGGGGAGAGAGAGAGATTTGCAGCGGCTCAGGTGTAGCTTCGTCTTCGATTAAGAGGCAGTGGGTGGATAGGGGAGGGAGAAGAAGAGAACTCGGGTGGGACCGAAAGATGGAATGAAAAGGGAGGAGGGGTTAAACAAATTTGATAAAATCTGAAGTCAACAGTTAGCATCCTAATTCCGTTAATTTCAAAATAAATGACAGAACATGACGTGGTCGAATAGTATTGGATAGGACAGAAAATTTTGTCCGTAGGAAATAGACGATCCGAACTTCCTCGTCAAATAGCAGCCCTACCATTCAAAGCCATCTTGCGAATAAGTCCAGAGCTTTTCAACCTAACTATAGGTATTGACGGAGGATGATTTGGCCCTATTTACGAAACGATGACATATGGATTTAACTCCGCACGAGCAACAGCTTAGCATTATAGTCTAGTAACGGCTAAGTAACAGGCTTATAAAGCAGCTTGCTGAAGAAGGAGCTCGCTACGACACAAGCTCCGGGTTCCCCGAGCTACCCCGAAGGGGAATTCCGAGGCTACCTTAGCTCGCGAGATAGGGCAACCAACTCGCTCAAGCCCCTAAGCAAATAAGTCATTAGAAGGGTAACCCTGAAGTATTCCTAAGCTCGCTACAAAATAGCTCGTAAGTGAGCAGCACGGGCGTTTCTCAGTAAGATTCTATCTGACAGATCGTACCGATCAAACTGCTCCACGTCCCTTGACTGACGGCGCAGTCCCTGTCCTTTCAATAGTCTGCACCCATGTCTCTCAGCAGGCGGAGGCGTGCCTACCCTTTGGAGACGTGTCACCCATCCGAGCAAGGGGTACGTCGCAACGGCCACCTACGTAGCCCTGGTAGGTAACGGCTGTGGCAGGGGCCCTGTGGCGGTTACGCCCGATTTGACGAGAACGCCCCTATAAAAGCCCTTAAGGCATAAGGGAAAAGGATCTTCAGACTTTTGAAGACTTTCGCACTCTCACACTCTAACTGAATACATCTTCGCTCGCGAGCTAATCTCTCGAGCACAGTGATAAAGCACGACCTACACTCTTAATTTTCACGCTCTTCTTTTCTCTTTCCCCTGCGTTCTGACTTAAGCATCGGAGTATTCCCACTAGGTAAACCCTCGGGAATCCTTCTTTTCCGTCTTCTCAGGTGTCGTCCATTACCAGCAAGGAACCAATCCATAGCCAGTTAGGAGTACTCGAATCATGCCGCATCAGGTATAGACATGTTAGGATTTCCTTTCAAGAACTTACAGCAAATAGACAATAATTCGGTTTTGTGGAAAGGGTTCTTCAGCAAACCAAGAAACCGGGCATCCTCTTCAAAGACGATGATCGGCCATACAAGCGATTCCTACCAACCCGAATGCAACAAACCTGTTGCTTCCTAACCGGGTTCTCTAAAACAATGGGTGAGAACTTGATGGTTACACCTGAATCGGGTCGGAACGACAATAGACTACTGGTAGACGGTTCCTCGCTGAGGTGCGTTTTTCTGTGTGAAGGAAACGAGAGGCCGAGCCAAAGACTTTGACTCTCTTTCTTCGAGTAAATCATCTAGTATGGGACTATAGTCGTTCAAGCTGAGAGATACGAATCATCATCGTCACATCAACAACAAGATGACATGAGGTTTATTTCATCCAACTCCAGAGATGGGCTGTTTAGAAAATCAATAAATCATCAACAGCAGCAAATCCTGCAAGATGGTTTTTTTTTTTGGAAAGGGTGTTGAGACGGTAAAGAATTGAAACCTCCCAACGGACATGAAAATCAACGTCGAATTTGCAGTGGATGCTGCATTTTTCCACGACTTTGAGCACGAAAGGGCGGTGCAAAAACGTGTTCTTTGCTACTATCGGAGATCCCAACGACTACTGTGAAGAATAAGGTGTGAAGAGTTAGGTTTTCTGCTGCTGAAAGGAAGAAGATGGTGAAGGAAGAGGAGGAGGGAAAGGGATGAAGGGTAAAATTGGGTTTAAAAAATTATATGTCATGTGGTGTTATGTATATGGATGTACAATTTGCCAACTAACTAAGTAGTAACAGAAGCAAGAATCAGGAAGCTTTCAAATAAAGATTTTGGTCTATACACGCTAAAAATAGCCTTCACAACTGTTTTTAATAGCCTCATGACACGAACCAAACAGTTTTGGTCTTTAAAGCTAGACAGACCCCAAAAGCTTTTAGTACATCTTCTTTAGGGCTGCAAGTCCAGCTGGGTTAGGTCGGGTTGAGGCCAACCCTAGCTCAGCCCTAAGATTTAAACCCCTAACCCTAACCCAATTCAACCCAAAGTCAACTTCAGGTTGGGTTGGGCCCAACCCTACCCTCTTCCCATCCCTAAAAATCTTGTAGAACTTTTTAATCTTAGATCTTAACTCAACTTTCATTACATATATTAATCTTGTATTTTATTAGTATTTGTTTGTTGATGTTTTTATCGGTTCTTTAAATACAAAATTCAGAAAAATAAAAGTGTTTGAAATGACTATAGTTTATTATGATGACTTATAATAGATCTTTTATGGGCAGTAAGTTATGGGTGACAAACAACAGAGAGGAGATAAAGAATAAAATATTCAGAAAATATAAAATATGTTATTAAGGTTTTAGTATTTTTAATTAGGATTAAGTGAAGTGATTATCTTAAATGAAATAAATGATAGTATGTGGTAATGGCTATACAACTATTATGCATCTAAACAAATCAATGTATGGTCATGTATATAACATATATTTATATATGATATATACTATAGAGTCGGGTTCGGATTGGGTCGGGTTGCTCAAGGGGTCAACCCTAACCCAATTCAAAGTAAATCCGGGTTCATAAATTTCAACCCTAACCCTAACCCAAGCATCAACCCAACCCAATCCAACCTAACTTTTCTCAGGTTGGATTAGGGTTGGGTTCGGGCTAATCCAGCCCAAGTTGCAACCTCAATCTTCTTATAAAAAAAAAAAAAGCAAAACATTTACTTTATCAACAACCACTGAACTATTAAATTGTTCAATCTAGTAAATGTATTTTGGGTCGTTTTATTATTTTATTTTTCAAAACATGGATTGATCCGTTCAAATCAAACGATTAAACCATTGACCCAGAAAACCCGTGGCTAAAGTGGTAAATTGATAAATAAGCAAATTAAGTTATTGTCAATTAAGTAAATAAAGTAATTAAAGAAATCAAGTAAATTAGTTTAATTAGAAATTTGAATTATTAAGTGATTGGTAATTTATTATTAGTTAGGCTAATTAATTTAGTTTTTAAGTAATAATTTACTCTTAATTGTTGTTAATTATTTACTATTAAATTAACTATTGTTATTTTAGTGACTCTACTTTGATAAAATTTATTTTTTAACTAACAGAGTTTTTAGGGTCTAAAGTGGCCTTTTCAAACTTTATTAATACCACATAAGCATGTTTTTATTATTTTATTCATTTTCTAATAGATCCCTCAAAGTTGTTTAAAACATGGTTTTCGAAACCGGACCGGATCGGATGGTCGGACTAGAAAAATCGGGAACCAGTCGGTTCGTTTTCCCCAAAAACTGGATTTCTCCCCCAAAACCGTTGGTTTTGGTCAACAAATCGCTGAATCAGACAACTAACTGTTCAAATGGTTTTGACTATTTTTTATTTTTTTATCAAAACGGGCCGAATGTTCGATTCAAACGATCAAACCGTTCGACCCAGTAACAGGACCCCTGACCCGTTCGGTCACCAAGTTGGTTTTAAAAACCATTGTTTAAAACATTGTATTGTCTTCCTACAAATGACTTTTTTACCAAAGTTTGGGGGCCAAAATAACCTTTTTTTTTATTTCTTTAGGCTGCCTTTGATTTCAGTGCCAATAGTTGCAAAATTATGATAGTACAAATAATTTAGGTGCAATTTCTGATTTGTTTTTCTCTATTTTGTTTGATTGCATTACAAATGAAGATAAAATCTCAACCAGAATAAAGCAAAAACCGAGACAAAATTAAATCAGAATTTATATTCTTTTTCATTTGCACTTCCATCATTTCATGCATTTGTACTTGTACAAATAAAATTAAAGTGCAACCAAACGCAGCCTTAAGATGAAAATGAACCTTTTTGCAAAATGCAAGAGTTATGAAGAGCCAAAAATCCATTTGGGAATGGATAAATAGTTTCGTTCGATCTAAATAGAGGGCTTATCTCTAAAATTATAATAAAACACTTATCAGGCATTTACTTAAGATCATAATAATTAATAATAATATATTATATTATTTTATATATAAATACATATGTACAATAATTCATCGGAGCGGGATGTTTACTGGATCGGATTGGGTTACATCCGACTTCGACCCGATTTATATTCGGATGATAAACAATCCGAATCCGGGATAATCGGATCGGGTCTCAGAATTTCGGATACTGTTGAAGGCCTACCTTTTCAGTTTTCAGTTTTCACTATGTGATTTTAAGAGCTCCGTGGCGGCCATGCCCGTGATGCCAACATTCGCCTTTATCGAAACTGAGGGCAATCCTGTAATTTTAACAAAGAAATCAATCTCTTCTCTCTGTGCCCTAATCGCCTGCGATCTCCCCCTCCCACCGGGTTTTCCCAAATCTCCCGCCCTTTTAATATGACCAAGCTATGATTTTTCCTCTTTTTTCAGATTTTTCTGCAACTGGTTTCTTTGTATTTGGTTCGAATTCGTTGTTCTTTGATTGATTGATTGATTTTCAATACCTCTGGTTCTCCTTCGTGGGTGGTCGGCAACACTATTTGTTCTTGTTAATTTTCAACAACTGGGTAAGATATATTATTTTTCTTCTTTGCTTGTGTAAGCCTCTCGATCTGTTACTTGGGTTGGTTTCTGTGTTCATGTTTTTTTTTCCTTGGTTGAAGGTTTTCTTAGGATGGAACCGATGGATATCGTCGGGAAATCGAAAGAGGATGTTTCACTACCAAAAGGTGATCTTTATTATATCTTTCTGCAGATTAACTTGAAAATATGAAGAAGTAATTGTTAGGTGTTTCCCTCGTTTTAGTTCCTTTGAATTACTGATGAAATCTATTATATGAATGATTGCTTAGCCTGCTTGTAGGTATTAATTATAGTCTCTAAATATCTATGAATCCATAATTCTTTGTTTTAACACCAAATGTTAAAGATATCCAGTTCTAGGTTTACTTGAGAGTCTAATTGACACTTGCTTTAACACTAATTGTTTGCCCCCTCATGAAGGGGCCAAACAAGAAGACGATGCTTACTTTATATGCTGATTTATTTTGCAAGGTCATACCGTTAATAGGAATTTATTGTCTAGGACACACATTTCGTGTGCAGATATTTAGTCCCAAATCTAGAAATAAATATCTTTTATTGTTGATTTATTTTGAAGTCCTCACTTTTTTTAGAACTTTTGTTATGCTAGCTATATCGTTTCTATGCATCTCTTCCAATCTGAATCTTCTGTCCATAAGATTTGCCAAAGTTACATGTTGAATAATTAGGTAAGTATTTGTGTTCTTACCCTTGAGTTTTTTTTTTTTTTTCTTTTTTGGTGTGTGTGTGTGTGTGTTCTTACCCTTGAGTTTTAAATATCTTGTTGCTGTTTTGAACAATCCAACCAGGACGACTTGGTTGTACTTTCCTAGGAAAATAGGAACTAGGTTTCTTCTGGGCTAGTTTTTTTATGGGGCTTCCATTTTTTAAATTTTGTATTCTGATCTGTGTGAAAAATGATTTCATTTACTGGTATTTAAATGTCTTGCTGCTATTTCAGGTGATCTAAACTACAAAAAGTGGACTGTAATTTTCTAGGAAAATATAAACTAGGTAGTCATTAGTGTGTCGTTTCATGTGCTTTCTGTGGGCTATTTTGATAATGGTCATTAGACAGAAACTTGAGTTTGTCCGTTCACATTCCTTCTTTCTAGTTATTTGTGTTCACCAATGCAGAAATTATAAATAAACACTACTCGTTGACCTTTCTCTATAGGAATTTATATCAATAGAAGCCTCATGGTTTTCTTTAAATTAAAATGTTGACACTGCACCTGTTGATCCAAAAAGAAAAAGAAAACAAGGGTTACATTTTGGGTCTTAGTATCTTTGCTTAACCTCAGATTTAATGTCCAAACCCATTTTCATTTTTCATCAATAAAAATTTCACCAGATACTGATCTTTTTTTAGGTCTTTACTAAATTGCATGCAAATTGACATTGCCAACAAACTTCTGTTTATGTTTTCCTAGTTACATCTTGTCAACGTTTAATCTTGTGGTATGCATAACACTCGACAAGATATTGAATCTCCTAATTACATTGCCATGCACAATAGAGAATTTGCAGATTTACCATTTATTTGAACATCATATAGGAGGCAAGTGTAAAAATTCATTTTCTATTCAAACATGCATGTGGAGCACACATGTGAAAATGAAATCCTCTTATGTATATTGGCATTACTTCCAATATTATTTGAGATTGGATGCATGTGATATAATGAATTCAAGACTTCTTGTTAGAAAATATTATTCATGTTAACTTATTATTCCTTTACAGCAACTATGTTCAAGATCATCAAGGAGATGCTGCCACCAGATGTTCGTGTTGCAAGAGATGCTCAAGATCTTCTTGTCGAGTGTTGTGTAGGTAAGTGAACATTAGAAGGATTGTCAGTTTTCTGATTTAGATGCATACAATTTGTTGTAGTTCTTTCTTAGCACATGTATCTAACTGCTGCTGCTCATGCTAAAATGAATATCTTCTATCACCAGAAGGAAGATGTTTTATGTGTTAGACTCCTAGAGATAAATTTTAACTTTCATGACTTTTTGTCCTTCTGTTTTTCTTTTTCTTTTTTGATGATTTTCTTAATGAAAGTTTTCGATATCAGAGATGCATGTGATGTAGGGGAAAGAAAGTAATCCAAAATTAGAACACAATAAATTATCTTTCATGGTTTCTGCAATCATTCCTTTATGTTTTTTGTTTATTGCTTCATAGAAATTGTATAGTAACCATTTTGGAGGTAAATCATGGTTGTGGTAATTACTTTCTCTTAGGGTCATCAGAATGTCGCCTCTAAGAATGACTTTTATGTCCAAAGATTCTTTGTTGACCTAATTTATTCAGAAAATTCTAAACTAAAAAATCCATTAGTCAATGTTGTTCCCAGCTATCTGGGGTCTTGGGAGAGGTAGATTAGGCATGGTCCTAACCTTTGGCATTTTTGTGCACAAAGTGGCCGCCCTCAGATTTAGAAAAATTCCGAACTACTGGGTTGAAACTACAACCTTCAAAGGCATAACTTAGCATACATACATGAGCAGTTCTTACATATGTTTTTGCTAGTTTGCTACTTATATCAGCTATCCATACATGAGCAGTTCTTACATGGCTGTACTACACAATGTACACATGTTTTTGTTATTGAAATTTTGAAATTTGAAATATTACTTGCACTCTTGAGAGGTTATACCACAATTAATAGATAAAACAGGATAGAAATCACGTAGTATATGTATTATTAATTCTTAAGGAAAACAAAAAGTGATATATATATACCCAAACCTATTCATATCACCAGACACCAAACCCCCCACCCACAAGCACACATGCACATTCTTAAACGCATGGTTACATAACATGTGCAACTTCAGTGTGTGTGTGTGTGTGTGTGTGTGTATAGATATACATCCATCTTGCACATACACCATATTTACATATCCCATCCCTCAATGAATCCACATAGTCGTCACCTGATTTCCATGTTGCAATTTGCAAGTTCCATGCTACAATGTTGCAGAATGAATAAGTCATTTGCCTTTGCTTAACAAAAAATAAAGATTATAAGACTGCTATATGAAGGGAAACAATGTGGTGTGAGGCCATGGGTTGATGTGGTTAAGAACACTAGGTACACAGTGAATCTAGAGGTTCCCTCATTATATGGTGTGACCATGGATCAGGAACACCACAGAGGTGGTTAATTTGGAGGGTCCTTTATCAGATGGATAGTTTGGATCTGCTATGTAAGGTATCCAAAATTGCAGGAAATCCAAACCCTGCAGGCAGAGCCTGTAAATAAGATACCATTCATTTTCTCTTTTTATTTCTTTCCCCTTTGGGTGGATGGTGAATGTGGGGAGGGAGGGAGGCAGACTACTGTGATCAGAATTTTCTCCCTGTCCTTTTGTCCTTGTGTTCCTGTTCGGTGTCATAACATATTCAGTGTAATTAGTTCCAGTGATGCATTGCATATCCTTGCAGAATTATAAACCTCATTTCCGTAGAATCAACTTGTGCACTAAGAGAGTCTCTTATTAATTGGGTTTTTTCTTGGATTAGTAAGCCTCCTATTGATTATTCTTTTGCAGAATTTATCAACTTAATTTCTTCTGAATCAAATGAAGTATGTAGCCAAGAAGAGAAAAGAACAATTGCACCTGAGCATGTTCTCAAGGCTTTAGAGGTTCTTACTCACTTCATTTTCCATTTGTGACTTTAAGTTCTTTCCGGATCATGCTCCTTTTTGGTATTCTTGCTAATGTATCTTCCGCCTAGAATTCCTATTTGAGCACTCATTTTAAATTCTAGCATCTTACGAATGATCATACACATGCATGCCTCAGTTTTCTTTTATGGGTAGTATAAGAATGAAGTGAGATGATGTGTGATGACTTTGACAGGATGTGAGTGATTGGGAGACTGACCTATTGATCTCTTTTCTAGCCTGACTGCAATAAAATAAGCTTGCAATCATATTGTAACTAACATTTGTCTTTGTGAGGAATTACAGAATCATTGCCACATCTTTTGCCATATGGTAGCTTCTTAGTGAAGGTATACACCCATTTTATTAGGTTTTTTGGAAAGAAATGGGTCATACGAGGGGACTTAGTTTGTGTAGTTGTCTTCTGATCAGCAAGGGGATTCAACAAGTTAGGTTATACAATATCTTTGGAAGCTTCACTCCGTGTTCATTTTGTTGCATCTCTATCTTAAATTTAAAGTATGTCTTCTTCATCGACTAGTCAGCGCCTTGGCACCAACTAGTCATCACATCAACTAGTGATGCCAAAACTAGTCATCACCTTATCACATTGATAATACTGCATGCAACTTGATTGTTCTTTCTAAAATAGTTACATATCCCATGTTCATAGGCTCTACCTCAGGTTTTCCTTGGGATTAGATAACCACAGCTTGTTAGGACACTACCTTTTCAATTTCTTTGGTCTTCTGAAACATGTATTTTCTAAGTGCTCATTTGGAAATCATGTCAAAGAGGTTATTTAATTTGGTGCTGTCAAATGTTTACTAAATGTCACTTGAGCATCTGTTGTTAAACTACAGGCTTATATCATTCTTTTTCTTTTCCTTTCTTGATCAGATATTTGCACCAAACTTTCCATAACTATTATTTTGAAAATTAAGATCAAGTTTCTTCTTTTATTTTATTATACATTTGTAGCCACCCAAAAGCGGAAAACCTAATCCATCATAATCTTACCAATGATAAATCAATAGCCAGAGAGTTGGAAATCATCCTCTCTACACAAGTGGCAAAATTTGGACCTGGATTTGATTTTTTTTTTGGTATTACATAATAATATTACACACATTACAAGGGATTAAAGGATGGGGACAGAGCAGGGTGCATGTGAGGTTTACTGGCCTTGGTATGGAGAGGCTGCAGTTATATCTTATATGGGTTTGATCCTGTACCTCCATATTTGGACTTTGGAGGGATGCCGAGTGACCATCTCAGCTACTGGGTCATCAATGACCTGGATTTGATTTCCCCATTTTCTTAAAAACGATTCATTAATATATACCAATTTAGAGTCATTCTTGCTTTTACTTTTGTCTCTTAATGTCTATCTTCCTCTCCATAGTCAAGGGAAATTTCATGCCTGTACTTGTTTTTGTATATAGTTTTTTTATCCAATCTTAACAATTCTTTACTCTATATCATGCGCATATATATTGTCTCAAGTTGTATTCCCTTTCCCTATCCTTGTTTTTCTTTTGTTGAGTACCATGGTAGCACATGGTTCAGGGTATTGAAAAACCTATGAATTTGGAAAAATCATTGTTTGTCTTCTTGATTGCTTAAAGCTTATTCAGCATAAATGTCAAAAGCATAGAAAATTGAACCTTGTCGACTGAATGTATATTTTTCTATGTAATGACAAAATTGCATCAGGTTCTTGGGTTTCATGACTACATTGAAGAAGTTTATGCTGCATACGAGCAACATAAGCTTGAGACTCTGGTGTGTTTCTGTTTCTTAATGATTCTTCCTTTTCTCCCTGCTTGTTTAGATTTGTGAATGATGTAGATTGTTATCTGTGTTCTTCTCTGGATTGTTCTGCAACAGGATTCCCCAAAAGGTGGTAAGTGGGGCAGTGGAGCCATGATGACTGAGGAAGAAGCGTTGGCAGAGCAACAGAGGATGTTTGCAGAGGCACGTGCTAGAATGAATGGTGGTGTGGCCATACCCAAGCAATCAGAACCTGACCGGGGCTTGGAGAGTTAAAGACCTTTCTTTTTCCTGAATTGTAGGCCAGCATGCTTGATTGTTTATGTGGATTTTGCATCTCCTGTAGTCTGTACATAAGGCCTTTGGAGATGCAGCAACCGTTAGTAGATTTGCATTTTATTTTGTATCTTTCTATGAATTATGTAAAGGGAAAATGACAGACAGGTTTCATATCCATGTCTATATGCTCCTACATAGAAAAGTTGAAAATTGAAATCAACCTTTCCTTCATCCTTTCAGCAACTGATGCAACACAAATGCCACAGCAGGATGTTCCAAGGCATTCGCCATCAGTTAATGGAAAGTGTGAACATTGTAAATATTCCAATATGGCGCTTCGTTGCTTCTTTGCCAGAAAAATTAAAAGCACTTTTGGGGATGCTTACATAATCTGATTTCTCAGAGGCCCGAAAAGCTAGAAAAGCTTTTTTGTTTTTTGTTTTTTGTTTTTTTCTTTTATTGTTAAAAATGGAGGGCTAGAGGCTAGAGAGCCTAGAGGGTGGACGGGAGGTCAGCCAGTCGTTCTCGATAGCGATGCCTCAAGTTCCTCTTTTTAGTGTTGGAAATCAGAGACCCATTGTGACTTGTGAGAAAGCCGAAAGCGATATCATCCTCCAAAGTCATGGAGCATATTTGAATTTTGGATGCATGAGCAGTAGTGGGTCCTAATCCTATGTTTTAAAAACAAATAAGTTTTAGACTGTAGAGAGTAGGCCACCCAAACTTACATGGGCAATGGATAGTGGTGCAACTTGGGTGGGTTATAGTTGGGATTTTGTCAAAATTTCAGTGGATTCGATCCGAAGCCCAAACCTGAAATAGTGTAAAATGTTAATTCGGATCAACCCGAATTGCACCCCTAGCAATGGAAGATATCCCATATCCCCATTTTCACACCAACTTGATGATCCAATGAAATTATGCAACAATGCTCAAGGATTGGATTTGATTCTATTCCTATTAATGTTCCAACTCAATTTTGATCGGACACAGATCAAATTCAGATGTTGTAATATAAGAAAAATCTATGATGCTAGGACATGATGGTATGATACCAAAAATTTGACCAATCAAAACCCCCAATGAAATAAAAGCCACCTGATTTTTTTTTCTTTTGGTATTTGGTCATATGCCCGAATTCTTAGTTATCACTTTTATGATAACTAGTGGAATGGCCCGAGTAATGTATGGAGTATTTGATATTGGTGGTGATATTTGACTATACTTTTATATATTGGGTATATATTTGTAATTTATGTTATTTTCTTTAATTTTTGTGATTTTCTATTATTTTTATAATTTTTTATATATTTCTTTGTTTTTTATATTTTATATTATTTTCTTCATTTTATGTGTTTTTTCATAATCATTTTTGCAATAACATATATATAATGGGAAAAATAGAAAGTTGAGGGTAAAGTTGGAAAGTAAAATTAGAGTGTTTTGACCAAACCAATTGCACCATTCTCATTTTTCAGTATGATATATAAGTTTCTATGATTTTCTACATTTTTTGTAAATTTTCAATATATTTCTTTGTTTTTTGTAATTTATGTTGTTTTCTTCATTTTATGTTTTTCATAATTATTTTGTAGTGACAATATATATAATGGAAAAAATAGAAAGTTGAGGGTAAAGTTGGAAAGTAAAATCAAGGTGTTTTGACCAAACCAATTGCAACATTCTCATTTTTTAGTATATAAGATATAAGATATACATGGTATAGAAATTTTTATGATTTTCTATATTTTTTTGTAAATTTTTTCTATATTTTACATTCTCATTTTTTTAGCATGGTATAGAAATTTTTATGATTTTCTATTTTTTTGTAAATGCTTGTGTATTTCTTTGTTTTTCTTTTTGTAATTTATATTGTTTTCTTTATTTTGAGGAGAAAGGTGCATAGGATAAAGAGACACCATATCTATTTCCTCATTCCTATTGTGAAGTAAGGGGAATGGATAAGATATACACTATACAGAGAGGGGTTTAAAGGAGAGAACTGGGGTTTTAGAATTTATTTTTTCGCTTCATGTGTGAATGATAATATTTGGTATTTTGCTTCATGTCGTTCTGCTTGCTTGGATATAGGTTGATATACAATGGTGGGGCTGTTATTTGCATATCTAACGGCTAGCGTTTGGATATAGGTTGATCTTGATTCATTTATATTCGGATTTGAATTGAACATCTGTCCAATTTTTGTAGAAGAGTCTAGATCTCCTGCCAACAAAACACATTCCAAACCCCTACGACCCTACCAAGTACCAAACCCCTACTGTATTACGTTGGTAGGTGTTAGATTATTGGACCGGCCTGATGATCGTCAAGAAAAAAACACCCTAAAACAAATCAATATAATGAACTTGAAAGCATTTCTCGATCTAATACAACTTATTATGTTAACAAAGATAATCGAAATAGAGGGGAAATGGGAAAAAATACTTGAAAAAATATGGAGAAAACCAAAAAATGCTTCATTTAATCATTTAATTGATTGTTCGATGATGAAAATAGAGAGGTCGAAAAAATCCATTCATCCCTTCAATTTGAATTCGTGGGTTTTGGGCAAACCATCTGATACTTGACACATGTTGGCTCTAATAAATGAAGATGTTCATTAGGTAGGCCTGACGGGAGTAGGCCTGTCAATGATACCTGAAAATCCAAGGCCCAATTTGACATCCAATCTAATTATCTTGGATTCAAATTACATATTTATGTAATCGGATCAGATTCACATGTTACAATCTACATCCAATTAATAATCAAATTGGATTTGGATTTGACCCAATATGATTTGATTAAAATTTAAATATGATTATATTACAATATTTATTTATTTTAATATATAAATTCTATATAATTATATTAAAATTTATAAAAATATATTTTAAATATTATATTATATATGAATTTATATATAATAAATTTAGTGTGTTATATTTACATTAATTTATTATATATAAAAGTTGAAAAATAAATAATATTTTAATTTTATTGGTATTTTAGAGAATTTAAAGTGGAGTCGGATTAAATCCGATTCCGATATGAGTTTGTTAGGATTCAAATTCGAATCCAAACCTCTAAATCCAATCTAATTTTGGATCAAATTTGAATATAGGTTCTTAATATTCAGATCGGATGCGGATTTTACTACATCCAATCAGAACCCGATCCGATTGTAGCCCTATTGGGGAGAAGATCAAATAAGGCCCAAGGGGAAAGAGAGGAATAGGTTCCATAGCGGTTTTATTATCTAATGCCACACCACTACACTTCAAATCTGCACTTCTACCCATTATCCACTGCCACATCACTGCCCTGTTGGCAACAAGTTGTAGCTCTAGGAAATGCCAAATTTGGCATTACTCCAAACCATGCCTTCCTGATTTCCAATGCGTGGCTTGGAGCACCGTTTTCTATGAAAAAATGGTTCCAAATAGATGGTTGTTTCCTAGAGCACCGTTTTTTCCTACATGGTGCTGATGTAACGTCGTTTTCTGGAGCAACAACAACGGTTCCAAACAGACGCATAATGGACCTAAGAACATTTCCTGATCCAATACAACTTATTATGTTAAGAGAGACAATTGAAGAAAATAGGGAGAAAAAAATGCTTTATTTCATCATCTGATTGTTCCCTGATGAAAAGAGAGAGATTGAAAAAATCTATTCTTCCCTTCAATTCAAATTCATGGTTTGGGCAAACCATTCAATACTTGACATGTATTAGCTCTAATTAATGAAGAGGTTCATTAATTAAGTAGGTGCTTCGGGAGAAGATCAGATAAGGTGAGGAATAGGTTCCACAGTAGTCTTATTGTTATTTTATTTGTTTTATCCAATTACAAGTGTTAACTGGTAATTAAATAAAATTGAAAAATAAAAAACATAATAAAGGGTAAAAATGGAAAGTGAAAATCAAGATTTAAAATAAAAAACATTATAAAGGGTAAAAATGGAAAGTAAAAAATCAGGCTTTTTGATGGAACATTGTCACCATCCTTATTTTTATAAATGCTACAGATACAGATATATTATATTATATTATATTATATATATAATTTAGGCATTTTAAGAGGGGATAGGATTTGGAAATATATTGGAAATATGAAATCAAGGAATGGTAGAATTGGACATGTAAAATCAGGGTGTTGGACGATGGACGCTCATCCATTTCTGTTTTTATAAATGGGTAAGAAACAATTGATTGATTATGATGTTGAAGCTGTATAATATTAATAAATAGTCAAAATACTCTGTTTTATTAATAAAATGAACTAAAAATGTTGCCGGTCAAAACAGGATGAGGGCAACACTGTAAATTTGCTCCCAAGCCAAGGTGTTGATGAACGGTCCGTGGTCCAAGGTGGCCAAGGACTAGTAGACCGGTCCTGCACGGAGTAAAGGAGGGAGAACGTTAGAGGCCTCGAATTGAGCTCAGACGGTTCGGATGCAGTTTGTACATGAGGAGTGCGGTCATCCAAGGTCGCCAAGTGACTCCGTATTACTAGTTTTGGAAAGCCCGCCGAGCTCTATTCCACGCATACCCTGATTGGGTCCGCTCTGAACACCGCCACCTAACACATGGGTGCCCGTTATTGGACAAGGCCACATGCGCCTACATCAAAAAATAACTTGATTGAAACCTGAACTTACTAGCTTTTAATGAAAACATGAAATTTAAAACAAATTTATCAATAAATATATGTTAATTTTATATAATATATAGACATATATGCTATATAATTATTATCGGACACGGATCTTAATAGAACCAATTGGGATCAACCTATATCCGATCCAATTACACGGATCTGATTTTTGAAATCCAAATCCGGTTTGATTGTATCAAATTTCAAAGTTCAAACTCGGTATAGGCTGATCAGATACTACCGACAGCCCCACCTGCGATTCTACCAGTATCATTGCTCTAGTTTCACCAAGATTGACTCATCAAAGATCAAGTTGAAGGAAATTACATTTAGAACAAAAAAATTAGGATGCAATTAATTACATAATCACACTGTTTTGCTTCGAGTATTTAGACATGAACAATGTTTTAAGTATCGACCCGGAGATAGAGCTGTTTTTGCCTCTGGGTTGCGGGTCACCGGTTCAAGCATCTGGTCAAATCGATTAGACTGTATTATATTATGTATAAATATGTATTTTATCAATAAAAATATTTAATTATTTTTTAGATGTAATATATGTATATGTAAATATTACTCTATATTTAATTTATATTTTTATTCTATTTTAATTTTTATTTATAAAAATTGTTAAAATTTGTGATTTGAGGTTCAAGAAAATGTTTTTTTTTTTTTTTTTTTTTTTTTTTTTTTTTTTTACGAAAATAGCGGACAAGGGACACATAGATTATGAAAAATTACCCAAAATAAAATAAGATCATCCCAATCAAATATTGGAGTACAAACTATGACCTCCAAAAGTTTGTAAATACATTTACTATGCAACCCATGACCCAGTGACCGGATTGAATGTGTCAATGGTTCAATTACCCAAGTTGTATGCTTTTTTATCAGGTCAATGTTTTTTACCAAATACTAGGTTTTAGCATAACTGGACCCAAAATAAAAGACGGGTGACTGTTTGAACGACTCAACCGGCTGGATTAATAGCAGGTTGAAAACACTAGACATGAAATCATCTTATTATTAGTAAAAATTGATCAATTAATATAGATTATGATTAGAGGTGTAACTTTTGCGGATTGAGGTTGGGATTTTGTCAAATTTTCAAAAGCCCAACCCAAAGCCCGAGTCCAAAATGGTGTAAACTGTTAACTTGAGTCAACGGGATGAAACAGTGTAAACTGTTAACTTGAGCCAACGGGACTTGCACACCTAATTATGATGATGAATTGATGATGGCGCAATAGCTGAGATGGTCACTTTTCCGAATATAGAGGTATGAGATCAAATGCATGTAAATGCATGCTCTCGCTGATAAAAACTAGGGGTGCAAGTTGGATTGGCCCGAATTAACAGTTTACACTGTTTTGGAATCGGATTTTGGGTTGAGCCTATTGAAATTTTGACAAAATCCCAACCCTAACCCATAAAAGTTGCACCTCCAATAAAAACAGTAGATCTCACGTGCACCCTGAACTAGCTAGCACAGCAGATATGCATGCAAGAATTAATAACTTCTCTTATTCATCGTCTCATTGTAGTTCTTGGAAATTCTTATAATTAACGATAACATAGATTATATACGAAAGGTAGCAGTTAGTTTTTTTTCCCATTTTCTTTTTGAATGGCCACCTTCTTAGTCCACGCTTGGGGCTGATTATTTGATAGATAAGTGTTTATCCTGATAAGCATTTATAGGTGTTTGATTAAAAAGCACTTCAAATAGGGATAGTGAAGGTATTTTCAAAACTAGGGGTGCAAATGTATCATATCATGATCCGATTCGATCTGAAATCCAATCTTATTTTATGGATTCAGATACCTCCCTTTTGTTGGTATATATATTATTTATTGTTTTAATTTTTTATATTATTTATTGTTTTATAAAAAACATGTATATATGATAAAAATAGTGGAAAAAATACTTCTATTTTGTGTTTTTATATAAATTGTTATATTTTTCTTTTTAATAATTTATTAAAATGCCAGAAATTAAGTAAGGCTGAATATATCTGACACCCTTAACAAATTCGGATTCAAATCAATATTTGTGAGATCCAGTCATCTTCGGACATACCCTGATTCAAATCTTTTTGCATCCCTATTCAAAATGATGTAGCAGGCCAAGACCGGCCAAAAAGAAAATAAGCTCAAAGTTTGGGCTTCTTGAATAAGTGTTTATTTTCATAAATAAGCATTTATTTAGGCTTATTTTTCAATGCAAACAAGTGCTTATCGGTGTGGTGGTCCCGACCCACAAATAAATACTTAAATTAAAAATAAGCACAGTTCTTACCAGAGCGTAGGATGCTAAGTAGAATGGGTTGTTTTTATAAGAGAGATGAAGTCATGAGATGGATAGACTTTTGTTATTTGCCTTGGAATGGAAAGGAAAGGGAAAGAAGAAAATGAGGAGTATGCTTCCATGATTATACACCATCAATCTATTTCCCCACCACCACCACCGCTAATTCCAGCCCATCGAGAATCTAAACATAACCCTACCTTTCATCTAATACCACTTTTTGGTCTAGCTATAGGACAGTAAATTATGAGAGGACGCTTTTAATTTAACTTCAATATGTGAATTTCTAATGGGTCCTGCAAAGATAGGTTTCTACTTATTTATCCCTAACATGAAGTTAGTGCAAAGTGTGGATTGAACATTCACATCCCTTAATTGCCTTGAAAAATGGAGAATCTCATTGTAATGATGGAAATGCTTCTATCATCATAACAAAGATCAAGATAATATTTCTAATTCAAACAATCACAGTAATTATATGAATTTTTTTTCCTCCATGATTTATCCACTTTCCAACAATGAGATGTCATATGCCAAATACAAATCTCACTGGAATGAGAAAGAGAAAAACAAAACACAAGTTTATTTTTCACTTGATAAGAGGTTGATCAAAGAATTCAACCTCTGTTTACACACTTAACCTGTGTTTCTCATTCCAGCAGCTATCCCATTGATGGTGATGAGCAATGCGTCTCTTAGTTTATTGTTATCATCATCATGTCGCAGCCGCCTCAATATCTCTACCTGTAACATATTGATTGGGTTGAGATATGGGAGCCTACTCTCGATCAGCCGTTTCAAGCTCCGGTTATTATCAGACAGCTTCCCATGACCACTAACAACCAATACATGCTTCTCTGTTTCCAAGAGATCCCCCCTTAGCTCTGCACCAAGTTGCCTCCTGTTCTCTGACACAAGAACTTCATCATAGTGCTTGGCTATAGGAATGTCAGCCTTTGCCAATATCATTTCTATGAGGTCTATGGTAGATTGAAAGAAAGGCCATTCTTTGTACATTGCTTTCAAGTCCTCCTTATATCCCTTCTCACAAGCACCCTTGAGGCCAGCACCAACCCCAAGCCAAGCAGGAAGCACAATGCGTGTTTGGGTCCATGCAAACACCCAAGGTATGGCACGGAGATGTCCAATTCCAGTTGAGCTCTTTCTCCTTGTAGGCCGGCTTCCTATGTTAAGGAAACCAAGCTCAGCCTGTGGAGTAGCCTCTTGGAAATAGGAAAGGAACTCTGGATTTTCATACACAATGCTTCGGTAATGTTGGCAACTTATTTTGGAGATCTCCTCCATAAGATTACGCCATTTTTCTTCTCTAGGCGGAAGTGGGGGGCGAAGTGTGGCAAGTAGTACAGCTGTGGTATAGATCTCCAGCTGTCTCACTGCTGTCTGGGACATCCCAAACTTAGCTTGCACCATCTCACCTTGTTCTGTTGAGCGAAGTGTTCCCTGCCAGTTTAAAAACAAACAGCCAAGTTACTCCAAGACATAAAAGATGGAGGTGATTTTTGATAACTCATCAGCTTAAATATGCACCCACATTGGTAACAGATATGGATACTAGGTGTTGAAGATGGTGAGATAATAGAAAATAATGGGCTAAGACATCCCATGTGATAGTAAAGAATTTGATCTTTTTCTTCTCTTGTTGAGCATAGTATAAGAACATTTCATTCATGTACTCAAAATAAAACTAATAAGCTCAAAGAAAAGAAAGAAAATTTTGCATCCAAACAAATAGATAAGTGGAATGGTAATTCCCTGACTACTTGAAAATTAAGGACAACACAGCATCTACCATCTATGGGTTGTGTCAAGTTTTATTGGCAACAAAGAAGAAGCAAAGACAATAGGAAGTCTCGAACTAGTCAAACTTACCATCACAGAACCAGGAGGCTGGGATTGTATGGCAAGATAGGTAGGGCCACCACCACGACCAATACTCCCACCACGCCCATGGAACAATGTAACTTTAATTCCATACTCATTGCAGGCAGCTACGACATCCTCTTGAGCTTTGTACAGTTCCCAAGCAGCAGTAAAGCGGCCAGCATCTTTACCTGAATCTGAGTACCCAACCATGACCTATCCACAATAACATTGTAAGTTTCACTAGCACTAGGACTTGGCAAACAGAATCACTATGCCTTTCTTAATGTAGTACACACCTCTTGGTGTCCATTATGGTTTTTTATTACATGATCCCGGTACCAATCAATGGATAACAACTTCCTTATCACTGAACCAGCTCCTCTCAAGTCCTTTACAGTTTCAAATAGAGGGACAACTCGCAACCTGTTTCAAGACCAATTTAACTAGCATTCATTAAAGCTCTATACATGTCTAAGAATTCAATATATGCTTGAATAATATTTGAGTTGCAACAATTCTAAGGCACCATGCAACTTTTTGACACATACTCTGTACTCAAAGAAAAAGGTATAGTGCCCCATGTCATTTCTTAGTTGGTTTTCTTTAAGTAAAAGAAAAGTAAAACTTCTTTACTAGTTGGTTTTTGTTTTATTTGAAAAGCTATTAATCTCTCATCTAAGAGACATTTCCTCCCTGGAAAAAGCATTAAAAGCAAATAAGGAATGATAGAGATTTACTTTTTCTCCTAGAAAAAAAGTTAGAAAGGAAAGGTATCACTGAGCAAGTCCTTACCTTTTCAAGTCTGACCAAAAGGTGAAAGAATAAACAACAAAGGGGGAAGAACTCAACTCATGTTGAAGAATCTTATTACAAAACAAATTTTCAAAAAGATGTCAAGACCTAGATTAATCCTGGACTGTTGAGATATACTTTCTCAAGGATTTTCTAAAAGAGATTATAGAAGAAGCATGCAGACATAAGAGATCAACTAACACCACTCTCCCCTATGAGTCATCATTAAATGCCCCCTTTATGTCAACGTTTTGGCACACATTAGCTCCATCCATATTCTACTTTCAGCTTAAGCTAGATCTGAGTGTTCTAGGAAGGAATTAAGTATCTTTGTAAGCTCTGTCATGAAGCCATCTTCAATTCTTAGAATACTTTCAGCATATCTTTTGTAATCATACTTTCTCTATTTTCTTTATCAATTATTTTCCTATTTTTTGAATTATTTGGATAATTTGATCAAAATCATTCTAAAGAAAACCCCAACTCTCCAAATTGCCGGCATACCAATATAATATAGGCACTTAGGCAGTGATTGGTTATACAGGCTTATCAGGCTTAGATTATCTGATCTATGGTCCGCTCGATCTTGGGGGGCCATAAATTGTCAATGGTGATGGACTTGAGAGGTAAAAATTTATTTTTTCCCTTTGTATGTTTTATCAAAAGCGTCTACAGACTACACATGTATGATGCATCATAGTGATGCAGCTCATGGATGAAAGAAGACCTTGCACTTTGAGACTGATTGATGGAAAGACTGTATGAGATTATGAGGCTCCAACAAAAACTATAAAGAAGAAAAAGAGTTTAATTGATAAATGAAAGTTTGATTTAATGAATTATGGCTTTACTCAGGTATTTCACCTATTGGACAGCATCCCAACATTGCCTAAAATGTATGTTAAATGCATTCTGTACATGTGACTGTCCAACATCACATCAGTCTGATATCATGGGGATGGGGTCTGTACATGTGACTGTGTTGAGACTTGAGAGTTTGCAACATGGGCACATTGTGGGATCTGTGTATGTGATTGTGTTCAGAGTGAACAGAATAATCTTACGTTCCACCAGGGCATGGTCTCCCAAGCTCCCCACTAAGGGCAAGTCGAGCATCTTTCTGGAAGAGCTCCACAGCAAGGACATCACTCGCCTGTCAAATATCAAAATGATCCAATATAGTTTTTGTTTCCATAGGGGGAAAAGGTAACAATGAAAACCAAATTGTAATGTATTTGGAAAATAGTGAGGCTGCAAAAAACCATTCTATTTGCATGTAGATGTAGATATTTTCAAACCCGTGAAACTATAAATTCAATATCAGTCATTAATGCATACATTAGAGGCCATGGAAATCACATATGCTCCAAAAGAATCGCTCCCTAGTTCAGCAGCAACACGGAAGGTGTCCAATACTTCTTTCACATCAGGAGGAACCTGAGAAATCCAAAGCAGGGCAGAAAAGTTACTATTGTTGCATGGTATTGAATTGCTGTAACACCAAGGGAAGTTCCAGGCAGGACATCTCATTAACTATCCTATTTCTCAAAAAAAAAAAAAACTATTAAGTTGAATCAGTATACTGAAAACCTAAAAATGAAAATGTTCTCTTGAATGTAATTCCTAAACAGTGAACGGAATATATAGTCCTAGGTTATGTTTTCTGAACTTTTCTGTTTATCTCAGATGCATGCTGTAGTTTTAAAATGTTGCTTCTTCGGTTCTTCCCTGTCACTGGTCAAATGTGCAGCAATATTCCTTTCTTTACATCAATAAAAAATTTTGGTTGTTACTGACAAAACCTCCTAATCAACAAACTTTAATCATTAACGGAACCCAGAAGTGACAGAGTAAATAGATGTAGGAAAGAGGGAAAGGAACCCAGCCATTTTAATTTATAAGCACATGATAACTTTATCACAAAAATCATGGATAGAATTAAGGTTTATTAGTTTATCCGGCCTAACTTTTGATTTTCCCCAAAATTTATTAATAGACCTGTTCATGGGCCGGGTGGCCTGACGGGCCGGCCCGGCCCGGCCCGACTCCCGGACGGGCTTGAACAGGATTTTTGGCCCGCGGGCTTAACCTCAGGCCAAAAAGCCCGGCCCGCATAAAATTCGAGCCGGGCTCGGGCTTTGCTAAAATAGCCTGGCCCGAGCCCGGCCCGGCCCAACTTATAGTTAAACTTAAGTAAATCCAGCCCGACCTATAATTAAACCTAAGTAAAAACCCTATGTGATGTCTATTTGAATAAATTTTTTGATTTGAGGTCATTGATTCACTTGTAGACCCATTGTTCATTTAAATAGGGGAAAAAAACATTTAAATTAAAATAGAAAATGTCAGAAAATTTTGAATTTCTTTTATTAGGTCGGGCTTCGGGCTCGGGCTCGGGCTTCGGGCTTTTCATCAGGGCCGGGCTTGGGCCCAAGTTGTAGGCCCGTTGGTCGGGCCGGGCTCGGGCTCGGGCCTAACAGTTTTCTGTTAATAAAGAGTCAAAGCCCGGCCCGAGCCCGGCCCGGCCCGGCCCATGAACAGGTCTGTTTATTAATAAGATGTTTCAGCATCATATCAGTGCATTCTTATTATTCAATTATGATAATACAAGAGAATAACAAAAGAAAAGGTATGGCATCTCTTCTTAGGAATGCCATATCTCTGTTTTAAACATAGATTGACATTTGAAAATATAATGAGTGGCAACATATATCTTTTTTCTATGTCTTATACACTGAGAAATTACATATGTTTGAACCGAAACCAAAAAATGTGATAGTACAAGAATTTAACTTATAAGGAACTATAAATAGGTTGGGTGTGATGGGGGAAAACAAACTATGGACAGGGATCCTCCGGTAATGTCTCCAAACTTCAAAAGCAGCCTAACTTTAACACTATATTAGTACCATGCATTTGCTGTCTCTTCCACTAGTTTTTGTTTGGTGGAGACTGGATTTCAACTTAATAGAACCCAAATGGATCTAATTAGGCATCTCACAGCCTTCTATGAATTGTTAAATGACATGAAAAAGTTCCTGATATAGACCTAAGCACCTTGTGTAATTATTTCTTGGGTATGTAAGGTTATATCAGAAAATATGTTATTTGAATTTGGATACTTTGCTTGGAAGCCTTGATAGCACCTGAATTGCTTCTAGATTTGGTGTTTTTGACAGCCATATAACTCATAGTAAAGATGCATAGGAAATCTGAATATTTGGCTGTCAAAATTGTTCCTATCTTTTGGACAGTCAAAATAAATCTCCTTTTAACTTGGTAGTGGGTATGGTTCCTGTGATTGCAGTATGGGAGATATGGCTATAAATAATAGAAGAACATCTATGTGCCAACACAAAATTCTTGAGCTTGCTAAAACGCCAGATATTTGAGTTTGATCCAGTTCATAAACACAAAAACATATTAAAGAAAACAAGCCCCTTCAAAAAGCTTTTCAATTTGCAACACTTGTTTAATATCATAGACTCCCAGAATTATGTCACAGAAAAAAGGAGCTGCCAAAAGTTCAATAGTTATGCTCTAAACTAAGAAATAAAAAATACAGGTGATTGACAGAAGCAGCGGAACCAGGGAATTTCTTTTGAGGGGGGCAAGTTAAATAAGAAAATGAAATAGGAAGTAGAGAAAGTAGGGTTTGGACAGAAATGGGGCAGGAAGTATGAAAAAGAATGAAATGTATACAACAAATGCCAAATATCCCAGAAGTGTAGGCTAGCAACTGCTACCTAGCCCTTTTCCCCAATAAAACATCCATACATTGAGCAATTGCCCCCAAAACCACTGACCCTGTTTACCCCTACCCTAGTTTAGGAATTGCATCAGCCAAACTATTTTCTGACCTTTGAACCAATAAAAATGTAGTTCCCACTTCCCTATCCAAAAATCTAATCTCCCTCACGATATGCCAATATTGACATAACCCTTGACTTTCATTCTTTAACCATCCCCTCCAATCACCCTAGAGCACCCCTCCACCATAATGTTTCTAAAGTTGAGAGATTTTCCCAGACTACTCCAGTAGGATTATTAGCAATTCAGCTCTTGTAGTACTCCCAGCCAATGTTTTGAAAACTGTAATCGTATCATAAATTGTAGAGAAAGTTGAACCAAATCAAAGTGTGAGTCGTATCATAAATTGTAAGATTATTTCTATTTTTTCAAACTTGTCAAAATATATATATATAGGAAAGTGACTTTACCCTATTTTTAATCTATATCTACCATATATGTACTTAAAACAATAGAATTTACCACTTATACAATAGAAGCCTAAGATGATATAATCAAGTTTAAATTGAAAAGTATACAAATCTACATACAATGGTCCTTTAACTTATATATGATAGAAAATAAACTCAATTTCTAGTAAATAAATCATTTTCTAGTAAGGGCTTTAAAAAAGTCTCCCATGGCAAAACTAAACATAAACAAAGAAAAACAAAGTAGAGAACTAATTCTTAATTGAATTTATTTGAATTGTAGTCAATTGTAAAAATCGTAAGATTTATGAATCAAATCGTAGGATTGAAACAAAAAAACGTAAGATTTTTTGTAAAAAATGATTCAGACATAAGATTTGAATTGAAACCCTTGGGATTCATGATTCAAATCATGAATCGTATCGTAAATCCATAAGATTTTGACAACATTGCCTCCAGCACTCATAGGTCCTGAGTATATTACTAACAAATCCCTATAGCAGTTCCTAATACACCACAATTGAAGATCTTTTCAATCAGCATTTTTAGTGTATCATCTTGACAGAAAATCTAGCCAGTTAGAGTTTTGAAGTAGCACTCAACTTTTTCCTAACCAATCTTTTGATGCTTACTAGATCAACCAAACTGGCCCAATTCCTAGACAAAACCAGCATTACTTTCATAAGCAGGCAAATATAGAATCAAACATTGTTTGTTTCCTTTGTTTTAGTTCTACTTACTAGCTTGGATTAATCTATGATTTTGTCAGATTTTTCAGGGTATATAATTTAACCAGCCTCCTTCCCCAAAAAAGAGAGACCATTAGGCTATATTCAACCCTTTTCTCTATGAAAACAGTCATCTAACTAGCAGCCCCCCAAGACACACTCTAGTGGTTTCCTTCTTAGCATAATAAGAAGGCAACTCAAGGTAAGGAAAGAGAAATCAGATTAACCTGTCTTGGTGTTGGTATTACTTTAAATGGTATTTGAACCAAAAAACAGTGTTTTCTCCTTCAGTCTCCTAAAGAAAATAAAAGTTCAGAGTGTGATAATCAATATCATCTGACCTCTATACTTGGTGGAACAAGAGGTCTCCTTCCCTTCAGCTCCTTAGTTAGAAAATCAAGTTTCCTTTCTTCATCCCACTCACTATATACACCCATATCCAAGTATGTAGTAATTGCATCCAAAGCCTCAGCATGTCTTCCAGATTCCTGGCAACATGGAAAAAAGAAAATTAAGTCCAGATCAATTAAAAGAGGAAAACAGATTCAAAGCAGAATCCTAAATAAGATTCACCTGGCGCAAATCAAGCTTCATTAATACCATCCCAAAGGTAGAAACCCTTCGGATCAAGTCTGCAAGCCGCCCATCAGCAAGGATCCCAGAACCACATGATTGCTGTAAAGATTGATTATCACAGCAATAAAGAAAAAATTACATATTCTGCACATGTAGAAAGAAACAGAGCATCCAAGAAAAATAAGTAAATAAAGATTATTCATCCAAATACCAGGGAATTATAGCATAGAAGTAGTGGTTCCAAAAATTGATCCTTTGTTTCATAGTAATCCCAGTGATCATGGTAACAGGGAAGATCCTCAAGGAGAAGCTTCAGCCGCCTTCTTGTTTTCATAAGCTGAGTTCAGAGGATACAAGTATATGTTTGTCATCATATTATAGAAAAACTAAATTCAAGGTCAAAGTACTACTTTGTGCTTTTATATTATATTTATACTTATGTAATATATTAGTCAAACCCAGATAACTGGGAAAAGGCAATGATGACAATGGTCATGCATAAATAAAGCAGATAAGTCAGAAAATGGGATAGAACTTGGAACATATACTATGGACATTTAGCTCTACCATTTAATTAACTGAAATGAAGATACATATAATTTATGCTGATCAAGATATTGATACCTTCTCTTTTACATCCCCAAGAATAACTCTATAAGGCGCTATTCCGGGACGTTGATTTAGACCTGGATCTAGAAGCCTCTGGAAGCTGGACCTGCCTGTTTGAGACTCTGCAAATAGTTTCCTCTTAGGAATGAGTTGACTAGAGTTGAATGAAGCACTCCTTTGCATCATAGATGGCTGAAGATTCCTAGTAGGAGGTGCCACAACATTGCTGCCTGAAGCTACACTTCCATCTTCAATTGTACTATGCGAATTTTGAGTTGATGAAGAGTTTGAACTAGAACAAGCTTGACCATCCTGTAATTTTTAATTTTATATTAATGAAATGCTAAATGTGATGTAGGAAGTTTAAATTAAACCATCAAACTAGTAAAATAAGTAGATTTTACGTGACGTTTCAATGGCTTGAAATTAGCGCCAGGAATGCCAGGAATCTCCAAACTGGGATATTGGGAGTCACCATCACTGCATTCTACATGAGATAAAGCCCACCAAAAGAAAACTATCAGACATGTTATACAATAGTTAAGTTTAATCCCTGGGATTAGTAATCATACAAACAGTGAAGAACTAAGAATAAACAGAAACTGATTGGAAATTTCCAAATATAGAACTGTTGAAAACATGAGGAGATATTTAGCAAGCATTTTGTGTAGGTTGAGCCCTTTTGTCCAAACTAAAGTTATTAGCTGCATCCAAATATCTAATTGAGGCAATAACTGTCACCAAAAGATGTTTCCAGGTGGCAAATCATCCCCTCTACAAGGAAACAGAATAACCATCAAGATCAATTTCATCATTTAAAAGCAAAAAATCATGAATAGAAAAAGTATATATTTGTAATTAACAAGATAGCTAAGAGGAGTATGAAGTTGAATGCTTTAAGATGTAGTCAAATAAAAAATGCATATCAGAAACATAAACTTCACAATCACAGATTACTAAGTTGAAATCTAGTAACCAGCAAGCGGTGGAGAAAGGAATAGCTGCCATTAATTTCAACAAGGGAACTTTCTAGAAGAGAAATAATTACTAAAGGAAAATGGGTAGACAGAATATTTCTGTTGTACCTGTTGGTAAGCTTTGTATTAACATGAAAAGGGAGAAATTCCCTCAAAATCCATCTTAAACAGAATAAGAAAAGGTAAAGACAAAATACCAGTGCAAGAGGGCAGATCCGCTCCAACTGGAAGTTGTGTGGGAAAAGTTGGAGCTAGCTGGTTGTGATTCTTGAACTGACTTCTGTTTGGTGGTTGGTTCCAACTCTCATTCCGATCCTCTGTTGCAATTTCTGTAAAGAAATTTGCAAATTTCAAAATCTCAATAGATGTAGCATTTAGTTGGTGATGTACAGAAGTGAAGAAAGATAATCAAATAGGTAACCTCGATATTTAAATAATACCAATGATCCTAAAAGAAACATTTCTGTGAAAGTAAACCATTTAGTAATGAGAAAGGTAAAAGTACAATACAATTAGCCCACTATGCTAATTTAACCCCATATAGCGAGAGTAGCTTAATACATAATGATCTAAACATCACAAAAACAGAAACATATTCCAGTTACATCTCAAATAAATTGATTTCTGAAATCTCAGAGCAACATGAGAAATTTATAAACTTCTTGTTCATCATAACCCAAGAAAAATATCCTTCTTATAGCATTCTTCATGATCTCATCAGTCATCATCTTAGAGTACTATTGCCATAAAAAATTCTCCTATTTCTTTCTGTCCAAACTGACCAAACTACTGCTGGAAAGGAGCACTCTATCAACCTACCTCTTTTATTTAAACCGTTCTCATGCCATGTCTCCAACACTTCCTAGATTATTGTTGGAATTTCAATACTTCCAGTAAACTTCAACATAGGAAAGTAAATGAAGTATTCAGAGTTCAGAATCAAAAGATCACTGAAACCACATTCAGTTCATATTTTCAATCTGTATCAAAATAATTGTCTCAATTACCAAGTATAGAAACTATAAATTCACATTTCATTTTTGACTGCCAAAATCCGTTTGGTAGTTTTACTGAAAAGTGATCCATTATTTGAACCATACATAAGACTCAAACTAAATAAAAACCACCCCAAGGAATCCCGCTATAATCCAAAATGTTAAATGGAGCAAGGATCATTATTTCTTGTTATTATGTTCAAATGGAGAATGCATATATTGTTCTATATGCATTTTTTTCTTTTTGAAATGGTAACGTGTAATTGTATTGTAGACTTTGTAGTAAAAAAGAAACTGAAGTGCATACAAGTATGCTCTTGTACAACTAGGTTCAAATTCAATACATTTGGAGCTAGGTTATATAAATAATAAGCAGAACCCTGATGAGGTATAAAGCTATTCAAGACTTCTTCCCTAAAATCCTTCTGTAGAGATCCATGAGTTTGATATGCCTACTAGCCTTCTCAGAACAATTTCAACTGTGATGGACCACTTCTAAAAATTCCCTCAGTTCAGTTACCTCCATATCAGTCAAATAATTACTATGGATGTAATGTTTCATATGGCTTCCCTCTCTTACTTAATTTCCTAGGCTGTGAGATCTCTAAAGTATCCATAATGCCTGCTAGGTACCACTTAATGGCCAAATATGTCCAAGAAATAGGCCTAGAACACAATTATGGACTTGCAATGCATGAATTGATGACTTACATATTCCCATTCTCGACACAGTTCACGGTCCAGGTCTGGTAGATCCATAACCTCTAGTTCAGAGTTTACCCTTTGCACGGAATTTCCCCAATGTGCACTTCAAACCATGAATTCCACTTTAGATGAGGCATGTGTTTTTCATATCTTCAAACTTGGAAAATATTTTCTCAAGTCATGGATAACTTGTTTAAAAGAAATACCAAACACTGAAGTCCTTTGATGCATCCCATAACTATACCCTTGAATCAGCATTGACATGCCTGGGCATGTTATCCTGGGGCTTCGAAGGCAAGTTTTCCATTTCATCTATTTTACTGTCATTCAGGCTACTTATGAAGACATGTTTCCAGTCCACCTAATCATGCCTATCTCATACTAGTATCTTATCTGGCTTCTGGACAAAGATCTCATTTAAATGAGGGAAATGTCCTCAAAGGTATAGATAATACCAGGTAGAGGTCCAGAAGTGGATTCTAGACTAATCTCCTTATTTATATCCAATTCCTTCGGTGAAACCTTTGCTTTCTGAATTCGTAGACAAACTCCAGAATTGTAGGTCATTTGTACCTCCTATGCCTCCCTATACATGTGTAATCCATATTTGGCAGAAATAACTTGTCTCCAAAGACTATACAGATCTTGGTCGAACCTCCACCACCATTTTCCAAGTAAAGAAATGATTACCACTAGAATATGCCTCAATCCTAATCCACTAATATCCTTCAGAGTGCAAATTTTATCCCTATCCACCAAATAAAACTTTAATTCATCTCTCCATCCTTGCCATAGAAAATCTATATGGAGTTTTTCCAAAGTATATGCTATTTCATATGGAATTAGAAATATGGAGAAGCACATAAGAATATTTTCCAGTGCAATTTTGATAAGAGTGAGCTTACCTCACCTTGACATGCAACTGACTTGACATGAGGCTAACCACTTCTCTGCCTGCTCAATCTTAGAATTCCAGATTAACTTAGAGGTACATCTTATTCCCAACAGCAATCCCAAGTATATGGATTGCAACCTGTCCACCTTGAAGCCCAATGCTAGAGCCACCATCTATGTTCTGCACAGTCCCCCTTGCCATTCTCACTTGGTGAGATTGTCTTTTGTAGAAACTGTGTCAAACCATCTAAGAAAAAAAAGAGGTACATCATCTATTCTTGTGAAGCATCAGAAAGAATATAGTGTTCAGAAAATTGAAGGATAAAGCAGACTTCTTCGGAGTCATTGCCTACTTAAAAGAAACCAAGAAAAATTCCTACTGCTTTTGTACTGAACATTATGAGGTCTTCCATTGTTCCCTTGCACATATAAATAGGAGAGGAGACAATAGATCTCTTTGCTGGATTCATGTGGAGTTCTCTAAGCCTACTCTTCATGCCCCATTAATGAGAATTGAAAACTTGGGGGTCTTGATGCAGGTTGTTACCCACTTATTCCAGGTTTCTCCAAAAGTACACCATCTAGTATTTGTCACCCATGCACAAATGATCCTTGTGTTCTTAACATATTACATGAAATGTGACCTTTGTGTTCTTGTCACCAAGTCATGGATTCAAAATTTCTGAAGGACCTCACAAAAGCATACGTATGTCCTTGTTTACTAGGCATATTAATATTTAAAGCAATATATTTTAAGTAACACAAGTTTATATTTTTTATGTCATGGATTTACAATCATAATCAAGAAAAGGATTCATTCCCTTCCTAAGCTGTTCAAACCACCAGGTGTTACTTGATTATTTCTGCTTAACTCATATGGCAGATAGCAAGGAAATAAAGCAAATGGAAGTAGGATAATAGTCATAGCTAATTCCAATTTCCACTTAAACATATTAGGATGTGATGTGCCAAACCTTTCTGAAGGATCTCATCTGCCAGTCTTGACAATTTCTCACTACACCTATTCATGGAAAGCTCAAACCTAAGACTATCAATCTCCCGAATGTAGAGATCAATTGCCATCCATTGAGACAATAGAGACACATCTCTCGTCACCTGTACAGAGGCAAAGAAATCAAACAGAGAAAACAAATCAACCAGTTATGTTTATATTCTAACTTCCAAAAGAGGTAAAACTAAGTGCAATAAAAAAATTATATCATTTCTTCTTTTCTTTCATTAGTTCCATATAGTTGTATATCCAAATCCTAATTCCAAACTCCTAGCTGTTGTCCTTTAATGTTTACATATTGGAAGTGAAAGACAAAAAGTTCGTATGTCAAAAAGGAGTCTAAAAGCAGAAGTAGAAAAAAAAGGGATTTTTTTTATTGGGCTTTTTATTGGGGGGCGGGGGAAGAAAACATACATCATACTAGGAGAACCAAAAATCAGTTGTCATGAAAACTGTATTTTATAGTAGATTTAAGTCCTACAAAAAACAAAAAAAAAACAAACAGTGATGGTGGTACTTAAAAAAAGTTAACCCTAAGATCCTAAATATAACAATTAACCACATAACTCATGAATACACAATTTACTGGTAAGGTGACAAATTTTATGTTAGATAAAGATAAATTTTGTCTGAGTAGAAACTTCAGGATATCTTTGACACTTGGTATTTGGCATGGTCATCTTTAAGAAAATGGAGCAGCCTCACTCATGGAGTAAAATGCAGAATGCTTCCATGACAATAAGGCTAACTAGATTTGGTTCAACAACATATTTCTGTAGGCATTGCAAGATGATAACCTATGGATCTTAAACTTCTTAAAAAGATACCAAAAAGAGAAATTAAAAGACCACCCACCAGGAAGTATTGGTTTAGGGAAAAAAGTAATTCATTACTAAGAATAAAAGGCACCCACTATAACATAGTTTCCAAGGTGCAGAGGTGAGGCTAGGCAACAGGGGGCATGCCTTGTCACGCAGGCAATAGGTTTTCTAAATAAACCTTGAATCCTAGAGTAATTCCCTATGTTCCATATAAAGCAGTAATCATCTTTCACTAGTAATTATCAAAAATCTTCTTTAAAAATATAATCTTCATATTGAAACATAGAAAATCAACATATTCATGAGAAGCAAAAAAAAGGAATAAAATTTCAGAAAATGTAGGTGTTGAGCCACTGTTTATGCTTTAGGAAAAGAAGAAAAGAGGGTGGAAGAAGAAGAAGAAGAAGAATGTGTTGATTGAACAAAATTTATATTTTAAGTTCTTTCTTGCTTATTGGCAAGGTTCAAAATTTTGTCATGTATTGGCCAATATGTATCGTATCGGTGGGTCACTGATACATGAAATATAGATGTTTCAGGCATTATTTCAGGGGGTAGACAAACCTAAAACCTATCCCCTGACCTATTTTTGAAAAAAGAAACTAAAAAAAGTAGGGCATGGTACAAAGTATCGATACACCCCTTGCACCATATTAGGGTGTATTGATACTTTGAACCTTGCTTATTGGTTCAGGTTTTGAGGTATTCGAAGGTTAAATACAGCATACACCAACATATATATGTTGAATGAACCCTACAAATAAGAAAATAATAAAAAATTAGTATACAAACCCACAAAATGAATAATTTAGTACAATGATGTCTATGTTATTATTATAATCTCAAAAATAATGAATATAAAATATTTTATAGTGCCATTTACAAAATAGCTAGGCACTTAAGCAAGGAAACCCTCCATGGGAGCGTTGTCACCTTGACAACTATTTGCACAAATGTGAATTTGCATATTATGTGCAATGGGTGAGTTTTACCTTCAAAAATTCTACAATTGTTCTCCTTCCAAATGCCCCAAAATGTTGCAAAGGGGGTAATCCATAACATCTATTCGTATAAGGGTAAAACCCTAATTAATCTCACCTTACCATCTAAGCTAACTTAGATTAAATTCTAAATAATTATTAAACCCAACAAATTTTTATACAGGGCTCCCACAGTATAGCACGTGTTGTACAGGGGCATGCTATATAAGCTCTCACGGACATTTTTTATGCTTAATTCGAATGCATTTAATACTGCAAGGAAAAGAGAATATTCCCAACAGGCTGAAGATAACAACAGACAATGGATACTTGGCTATCAAGTTATCATCATTAGAGGATAACTAGATTATTCTTCTTTTATCAAGGAAGATTCAACCACGGGTTTTAACACAGGCAACGGTCCTTCAAACAAACTTTCTTTATTAGGATCTAATCTTCATAATAAATTGATAATGAAACAATCATCCTTCAATGTTTTTCCTCTATTACTTGGAGAAAATAATATGCCTGAATGATAGTAATTGGACAACACCTTTGATGAAGAGTGTATTCTAGTGTTCCAAATTTAACGCCACAACTTTGACAGAAGCCAAAGATATCATTCAAATCTTCCATTTCTCTAACATGTTGGATTTTGCTTGATAAAACTAATGGTATGATTGATAAATCAATAATTGTTTCTGAATAGTGTTTTTCCTTGTACATATAGCTTTATCCAATTGTGTAAAAAAAAATGTAATCTATTCAGTAGAAGTATGAAGCAAAAATTTTCAGTAATCAATAACAACAAGCCTCACCTTTGCTGTTACATTCGGGTTTCCATCTCGATCACCTCCCATCCAAGAGCCAAACTTTATTGGTGTGCAAGTCAATGGAAGTGGTTTTCCTGTATGCTGTAGAAAGAAAGCACAATAGAACTTCATAAGAATAGATAGATATATGCATCCAAATATGGAAGGGGATCTAGTATGTCAGCAGTGAGCAATGGAAATCCCGTCTTGGGGAAGTGCACAATCAAAAGCAAACCGACTGACGGAAATGAGAGTAGGAGAATTCATACATAAACCCTCTAATCCTTAACTATCAACAAAACCCAGACATAAGTATGGAATGGTCAAAAAGAATCCAATACAATGTATTGAAGACACAACCTTCTTCAGTGCATTGCTGAGACGTCGCAAATAATGAGGTACAGCTTTCCAAAGGGATTGTTCCACTATATGTAAGCCTAAGAAGGAAGGGAATAAAACCGTTAGTGAAGGAACACCAAAAGTGAAAATTCTTGATAATAATAAGGGGGTACATCAACTAGATTACCAGCCCTAGCTTCATCTACGGGTGTAGGCTTGTGGCGCCTCAGCTCATCTGTCTGCCATATCGCAGTAATCTCCCTCACCTAGAAAAAGTTCCAAATAACTAATAGTCATTTGCGGTTTACGATGAAAAAAATAGAAAAGAAGGTTTACAGGAATAGTTATATACTAAATCTTCGATCAACATTTCTCTGTCTTCATGGCTGAGATCTTGACGATCTTTGTACTCCAGGAGATGCTGCAAGAAATGGCTTAGCCCCGCTCAGAAACAACGCAATGAGCGAAAGTAGAAAAGTATCTTTACATGGTTGCCTCAAGAGAGTGGACAGTAAACTTGTTACAGAAACTTACAGAAATTCTAAGGTGCTTATATTGTAAGGTACGTCGGTTGATTTGGGTGGGGTGTGCAGTAAGGACAATCTCAACTTCCTGTGGCAACAACCAATCAAAATTCAGTAAGAGTTTATATTCTCGTCAAAATGAAGTACCCACAAGATCAACAACCACCTGCTTGCAAACGGTATCGTAGAGCTCTTCCGGACGAACACCAGCTTGTATCAACTGGTTAAAAATGTCATCACAAGATTTCGACAAATGGGTCACGCTGCGAGTCTTACGCACCCTGCATCAAGAAATCGTTTCGTGGAAGGTAAATAATCTCATTGTTGGAAGGTGTCAGGTGAAATATATCAGGATCAATGGAAATGAGTAATAATGGATTAGACCGCAACAGGAACACCAAACCACCTGTGATGGGTCTCGGCAATACCCATCAGGTTCAGGAAGTGACTGAACGCCTTAGCCAATGACAGCGCTTCCTCGAGAGTCATTTTTGATAATTCTGAAGCCAGTTGCTTCTCGATCAACTCAGCCGTGTCCTCGATCCCCGAGAACCTCATATTACAAGCGCTCTAAATACAACCCAATACCATAAATGAAGATGATGAAATGAGTAAAAACAACAAGCACCCAGAACCCAAAACAGTAAATTAAGCGCATATAGCGACGAGCAGATCAAAAGAAACAATACCCAGAACTGATGAAGTACAAAAAGAGCATTTCATCCGTTGCAGATCAAATAAACAGTAACAGAACCGTATATTATGCAGTTTGTGCACAGATAACTTCCAACGAGTAGACAAGGCTAATTGTGTTGTATTGGATACCTGAGCAAGGACTCGATATTTTTCGACTTTTTCCATGAATTCAGTCCCAACTTCGCGCTGAAGGACGTCGTTAAGTAAGCTTCCAAGTAACCTGCAGTCATCCTCAAAGCCCTGGAACGAGATTTCCTCTGCAATATCGTCCGTTATATCAGTCATTGTAGCAAAGTAGAAGTAGAGTCAAATGTGAAAGGGAGAAGGAAGCAGAAGTGTACACAACAAAGACACAATATAGAAGGAGAGAGCAGAAGAAAGAAAAAGAAGAAGGTAAGGTGGAGGGAGAAGCAGAAGCAGCAGGTCTCTCGTTGTCGTTGGTCTCTCTAAAATGATGGCGCACATCGCACATATTTTATAGTTGGGTGTTTACCGTGTCATCAACCACGGATCTAGTGGCACGTCATCATTGATAGCGTACTTAGTGAGCGGTTCTCCTCTCTTTGTGGGTCCAAGACCGAGACTCGAGATTCCTCAATTTCTATTGGATGTAGGATATCCGCATTAGAAATAGTATTATAGAATTTAGTCGGGGGCCCTGGGCGAACGATGGTACCCGTTTGTCTAAATTCAAATACGAGTTCGATCCGATTAAGAGGATCCACATTCGTGGCCCACCCAATCCCTTCCATATGTGTCTGTTAGTTTTCGGGTTGGGTCGCCAAATGTTTTTGTTGACCCATGAGTCAAACAAGTAAATCGTTAATCTGCTGTTCTTTGACCAAGTCATTGATGTTTTTTTACCAAAAGTACGGGTTTAAGTTTAATCATCCAGCTCGAATGGTTCGAACATCCAGATCAACACTGGTTTGAAAAGAGGTAACCCAACCCAAATTATTTTCATGTTGGGCTGGCCCATCTCACTTTCTAGTTCAAGTTGCTAGACTATAGATACTTAGATAGGGGGACCCTGACCCGCTCTTTTGGGTGGGAGTCGTGGGATCGGGTCATACTCGTAGGTTGGGTCGATTTTTTGTCAAATATACGAAAAAAATACATTCTGCTATCATATGAATCAATGAATCATTTTCAAATGGACTTTTTATAATATTAATAATAATGAAGTTTAATGAATTTACAAAATCAGATACGTTTTGAAACACAATGAGCGGGACAAAAATAACTGAATTTGACCAAATTGCCCCGTATTAAATCAGCAAATCAAATCATCTTCCTCCTCCACGGCTGACGATTGACGAAGGCTTAAGACCAGGGAGGAAAAGGAGCAAGTCATGTTTGGCGCTCTAGAAAACCTCTTCGCCAATGCCTCCGTGAAACCTAAGGGCATTAGTATATTAGTGTTGAACTGTAGCTTGTTCAATCCGAACCCGTCGCTGTCCGCCATGATTATCAACAAGTACAAGCTAAGAGGTAATATTAGGAGCTTTAACTCGGATGCAGTTTATCAGCGGTGATCGCCATCGACTTGGCCAAGGACATGCTCCAGAACTGGTACTTAGGGAACAAGAAATCAATCAATGCTGATACCTAGCTAATTGCTTGTTTCGTGTGGGTGGATCGGCGGTTCTGCTGTCGAACAAGTCCTCAGTCAGGCGCCGGGCGAAATACAAGCTCCTCCATGTCGTGAGGACCCACTGCGGAGTGCGGAGCCGATGACACAACGCTCCGTTGTGTGTACCAAGAGCAAGACGACCAAGGTAAAACCGGGATCTCGTGTCGAAAGATCTCATGTCCATCGCAGGAAAGGCAGTTAAAGACCAACAATACTTGTTCCTACAAGACCGCATCTAATTTATATCAACAGAGAAGGAAACCAGATATAACACGATAAAATGGGTTAGTGACGCTAGGTGGTCCACTTGAGCTCTTCCAAGGGACTCCATCAAATGATGCAGCTACATGTCCTGATTTTGTGCTTTTTGTAGATCAGAACAAAGCTCTTAACAATTGAGAAGCGGCTTTTGCTAGCTAGGAATAACAGAGGCTCTACAAGTCTTTGCTTCTCCATGAGGAAGACGATGTACGATAATTTATCGTCTATTTTAAGAGGGGTCAATTTGGTCAAAAAATTTTGCTTTATGTATTGAACATTGTTTTCACATTATTTTTTAAATCGTATCCGATTTTGTAAATTCACCCTATTTTATTTTATTTTTTTTTTGTAAAAAAATACAATATTATATTAATCCTTTCTATTTGGATTTATTAATAATTTATGAAATTATTATCATTTTCATTTAATTTATTGATGATAGTTAATAGGGAAAATTCCCGATTACTACCCTTTACTTTGGGCCTAGTGCCACTTTGGTCCCCGGACTTTAAAATGTGACGATTTAGTATTGAACATTCAAAATAAGACAATCTAATACCTGTTGTTAACTAGTTATTAATCAACCATTAAGTGGCATTTGAAAAAGACACAAATGAACTTCGAGCGTCATCTAATTTTCTTTATCATCCATCCAAACAATGACAAAAAATTAACAATCTCAAATCCTTCTCTCTTCTACTCAAGAAAGTTGGGGTCACCATAATGCCCACTGAAACGCCACCCCAATTTTCTTGAATGGAAAAGGCAAAGATTTGGGACTGTTAATTTTTTGTCAACGTTTAGGTGGTTGATAAAGAAAAATAAATAACACTTGATGGCATTTGTGCTAGTTTTAAATGTCACTTAACAGTTGGTTAACAACTAGTTAACGGCAGGTACTGGATTGTCACGTTTTAAGAGTTTGGGTACTAAATTATCGCATTTTAAAGTTTGGGGACCAAAGTGGCATTAGGCCCAAAGTACAAGGTACTAATCGGGAATTTTCTCTAGTTAATACCCATGAATCAAAGTCTGATTTTAATTTAGGGCCTGTTTAACTTGTAGTCAGAATAGAAATTGGAACTGGAACCAAAATTGAAATATGTCAAATTTGGAATCAGAATGGTCTATCCCCATAGTTTGTATGGTTAAGGCAGGAATCAAAATGAGAATTAAAATCAGTTGGAATGGGATTTCATTCCCAGAGGAGTAGATTCTTGGGTTTAGTTCCCACATCGAACGGTTCGACCATCCAATCCGAACAGATGGCTCGCTCTGACAAAAAAAAAGAAAAAACAAAAATTGCCAAAAACTATTGTTTGGATCAACAGTTTAACTGCCTAGGTAGTGGTTCGTTGCCCAAATCAATGGTTTTTTTTTTTTTTTTTTGCTAAAAAGTGGTTTTGGGGTAAAATAGAATCAGTTAGATAATTGGTTCCTGGTTTTTCTAGTCTAACCGTTCGGTTCAGTTGAAAACAATAGAGAATGGTCATTTCCTAAAATGTGATTCCACTATGAATTGGAATAAGATTTCAAATCCGCTCAACCAAACAGTTTGAATTGAAAATGGTGATTTGGATTCCAAACCCTTATTCATACAAACCAAACAGACACTAGGGTATATTTAAGTCTAGTAGGGCCAATTTACAAGGTATTTTTAAGTTTTTAATACACAGGGTATGTTTAAAATTAATGAAAACTTAGGCCCCATTTGGTTCATAGAAATAGGGGTTTGGAATCAGAACCAGAATGGATTATTTCAATTCCAATTGTTTGGTTAGGCGAAATCATAATCTCATTCTCATTCATGGTGAAATGACATTCTCCCATTTGAGGGAATGGTCATTCCCTCCCCTCCCATAGAAATAAAATTCCATTCCTATCCCAATTTCCATTCCCATTATTGCCTGAATCAAAACTTATAAGGGTAAAATACTTATACCTCCCTCGACGTTTCTGATAAGGTCAATAATATCTGCTTATTGACCTTTGGGTTAGTTGCACTTAGAAACTTAACAAAAATATAAATCTATTGCTCTAGATTTTTTAAAATACTCAAATTATCAAGGTAAAATAATTGTACCTCCCTGAGCTTTGGTGTATCCGTGAATCATGCCAATTCGGCTTCAAGCAGCCTTTACAGCCTTCTCCGTTCTTTATGTGCTTGGGGGAGATAAGATTGCAAAAGGAGGTTGGAATGGTCTGGGCACGGTTTTGCCCTGATGGAAGCCGAGGATAGGAATTTTTGCTTTATTTTGTTACTTGAAAATTTAAATTGAGGTATAAGCTTTTTACCTAGACATGATTCATGGATAAGAGTGTAGGTCACGCTAGATCACTAAGTTCTCAAGATTAGCTCGAGAGCAAGTAAGATGACTCAAAATCAGATTCGATCAGAGATTCCCCTCCCCTTCGACTAAGGAGCTTTTATAGGGGCGTTCTTTGTCAAATCGAGCGTAACCGCCACTGGGCTTCTGTCGCAGCCGTTACATGCCAGGGCTGCGCAGTGACCGTTGCAGGGTACTACCCAATTGGATGGGTGACACATCCCAGGAGGACAAGCACGCCACCATTTATCGAGAGACGTGGGTACAGTCTGTCAAATGGGCAGGGACTGCGCCATCAGTCAAGAGACGTGGCGCAGTCTGACGGGTACGGTCTTGTCAGATAGAAGCTTCCTGAGAGCATCGTGTCGCTTAGTCGCAAGATACCTTGTAGCGAGCTCCCAGGGGTACATTGAGGTGATCCTCATCGAGATTGTCTTTGGGGCAGTCTTTCTATCTAAGTGTTGGAGCAAGCAGGATACCCTAGCTCGCGAGTTGGGATAGTCTTGGAGTATTCCCTTTCAGTAGCTCGGGGGACCTCGAGCTCGCGTTGTAGCGAGCTCCCCCTATAGCGAGCTAGGACGTAGCGAGCTGTTTTGTAGGCTCATTACTTAGTCGCAGTCAGGCTGTGGCGCTGAGCTGTTGCTCGTGCTGAGTCAGGTCCACGTGTCATTGTCTCAAGGAGTCGGGTCAAATCATCCTCCATCAATTGCCCCCCACTCCTCGGGCTAACAATGCTACCTTAGCGTGAGGAGTTCATGAAGTGCAACGGGTGGATTTGACCGAAGTTCAAACTTGATTGACTGCTCGCATTAAATGCGTGCACAGAAGTCAGGGGATTTCTAACGTTTTGAACACCGAGAAACGTGCCAAAGCGGCTCTTAACTCTGGATGTCGTGCAACCGTCATTACCTCAATCATGGGAGACGTGCAGGCAGTCACATTTCGGTTTCAGAAGACGTGCGATCAGCTTGACTGCGAACCGTCAGATCTGTCTCAATCTGGGCCATCGATCTAGAGGCACAGTGGCTATAAATAGGAGGGCCCCCATGCCTCATTTTCTTTCA